CAAACAGGAAAATATGTATGTGTGTATATACACGTCTAATCTCCTTTGAAAACCATCTGATCTCATCAGGAATAAAACAAAGAGAATTCCCCTTTCGAGGGGAATAGTGCAAAAAAAATTTGCTATTCCTGTAAGATCTTGGACAGAGATTGTATAGGGTGGTTCACATTTAAATTAAAGTTCTCAAAATACATTTTAATTTTCTGATTCACCGGCGATGCAGGTGACAAAGAAAAATAAAATTGATTGTTTGTAAAGAGTAATGAATGTGCTATTCAGTTAAAATATTAATAATTGTTAATACATTTTTTATGCAGTAAAATTGCCATCATCTCTCTTTCTTTAACAATTCGTTTATTGCATTCCTCACCTCTTTCCTCTCACTCAGGAATATTGTTCCCCTTATCATCCCTAATCATTGCCCCATCCCATCTAGCTTATATACTTCTTCCCTTTCTCAGGATCTAAAAATGCTCAAATCCTGGCTGTCATTAAAAGTAAAACAAACAAAACAAAAATTTCTTTACTCTGTCTCTCTTTATTCCTCCAGCGTCTCATCTCTCTTTCTCTTCCCTTCAAGGCTGAGCTCCTTGAAAGAGATACTACACTTTCTGTCTCGACTTTGACTTCAATCTTTAACTCATACCAATTAGATTTAGCTCTTTTTGCACTGAATTCTACTGAAAGTGCTTTCACTAATGTCACCAATGATGTAAGTTCCCAGTTGCCATATCTGTTGCATCGGTTGAAGTACCTGACCTATTTTGTCTTTCTATAGATTCCTACTCTATCACCACTCTCTACTTGAAACTTTCTGATGTCAGGTAACCAACCAAAGGGAAAAAAACGGCATACAAAGGCTTCAGATTGCATCACATTGATTCAAGATATATCTACCTTTATGATTATTATATAAACAGCACATTTTGGCAGAACTAAAAAAATGGGATAATAAGAATTTTCTGCTTAGAAAATTACATGAGGTCTTGGGATGCTGTTCTCACTGAATGGTTTAGGAAGACCACATTTAGAAGGTGGTGGTATTAACAGTCCCAATGATAGTCTGGAATCAGGCGAGTTGACAGGAGTGACAGAGATGGAAGAAATATTGAGACAGGGAGATGAACCATCACTACTACGCCAGAAAGAGGGTGAACATCTCTGAAACCCGTGTTGCTCGTGATCAGACATTTTGCGCAGCAGCTGTAAAGGAATGACAGAAAGAGAAATATACTAAGAAGAGGAAAGAAGGCGTGGAGGAAAGGAAAAAGTATACTTGAAAATTTATTTGTAAAATGGTATGTTGTTAAAATGATAAGATAATTTTATAATAACTACTAAAATAAAAAATGAGGTTAGAGAGATTTTCCTGTGTGGGAGTATTTAGATTCTGGATTGCTTAATTCAATCATTTTCACTGAAATATTACATTTTTAGATATTTTAAATAAAATATTGCATTCATTAAGACCTGAGAAGAATAGCATGGAGAGGAAAATAAGGAAAGCCTGAAGATTTAATTGGGTGAGGGCCTCTGTGTAATGAAATGGGAAAAGGAAGGATAGTAATGAGAGTCCTTGAAGTAGGAGTATAAAGTCTTGTAAACAACGTTACAGCTTTGGAGCATTTTCAAAGAAGGTTACAACGTACATTTTAGGTTTAATCCTTGAAACATTCTTTGAAGCATTAGTGATTGTAATATTATGTCTTTATGATAACAAACACATGGGAATTAAGGTCCATAGATTCTTTGTGACTTATTCCTATATCAGGTAAGAAGCAGATTCAAAATTCATCATGCCTTCTATAGGTGGTGAGTTCCAAATGGTAGGACTTTAGGGGATGGGAAGAGGCAGTTTTCAAGCATCCCAAGTATATCAGAGAGATAATAAATAATAAACCAGTAGTACACTGTCCTGGGTTTGAACATCAGTCTTTGGATGACTCTTAGGGGCTATTTCCATAACAGCATGGAAAGCCACCATCGAGCTGGGCTGAGACAGCTGAGCTGCTAGATGTCAGAGTGGTTAATTAACAAGCCAAAACAAAAGTAATAATTAAGCCATTATTTACTTACTGCAATAGCATAAGCAAAAGGCCAGGAAGAAGGTGTCTGCTCCATCAGTGCTCTATTTTCCCCATGGAATGGCACCGAGGAAAGGTCAGACATATCACTGCAGAAGTGCGGCATTACCCCATTGCTGAGGGAGTTCTGAACAGAAGGTTCCTAAAGTTTTTCTGGATAAGAGCCCAGGGAGAGGAAAAAGGGAAGGGCTGGGAGTAGAAAAGTACTGGATACTGAGTCATAGTGAAGAAAAGTATCCCCAAGGGCTCCAGAATAGGGTGGTCTTGGTAGAGGTACCTAAGAGAGGCCTCAGCCAAGGGCCCCCAGTAAGTAGGCCCCTGAATGGAGCTGCCTGGGCTAGAAATGCAGATATACTGAGAGCATGGCCAGCCAGGGGGCCTGGGTGCTAGACTGATTTCCCCCAAACCATGCGCCAAGTCTGGTGTGGGGAGAGCAGCTCTCACCCATAAGGTTTGCCAGGCAAAGCCTTTGTAACTGCCTATGATTGGGCCTGAAAGATAACATACAGGATTTTGGCCTAGAGTCGCATTCCTCAGCTGCAAATCACACTTCAGAAATTTGTTAGCTCTAATAGAAATTTCAGGCAGCCAGCAAAAATCTGACTTTTGATAACCCTCATTGTAAAAGGTAGCAATATAAATTAGGATTCGAAGGACCAACATGTTTAAGAGACATTCTTAAGCTAGAGGCCATCTCTTCACACATTTCTGGAAGGAGAGGGAAAAAGGAAGCAGTGTGAAGTAAGAGATTAAGTTGAGGTTCAGTGTGAAACCCTTTATATGTATGTATATATTTTTAAAATCTATTTTTATGCTATATA